AACCGCGGTCGACTATGTGGGAGTCCACTGACATAGCCATTACGCTAACTGCTGGTCCCCGGATTTCATATTTTTTGATACTAAAGTAAACTTGTTCTTTAATACTACTTTTCTGCCAACTTTTTCAAGTTCCCTCATATATATATGGGAGAGGTGTCTGTGTGTGTGTGTGTGCCACAAAATGTTAACCGTGTTATTTTGGTGGTAAGATTATGGTAGTTTTTGTTTCCTTATTTGTGCTTATGTATGTAATTGATACAATTTATAAATTTATCATTTAATATTTTTATAAACAGAAAAGCTCAGAAATATTCCTTTTTGAAAATATTACAAGTCAGGGCCAGCAGGTGGCATGGTAATTGAGATGCTAGACTTCCCACATGTCTGACCGCAATTTGAATCCTGGACCTGGTAGCTCGCTTTCTCACTCTCCCTTCGCCTCTCTGTCTTTCTCTGGTGAAATATATTTTTATTTCTTAAATTATTTTATTTTATTGGAGATGTTTTTGCTATAGGGCGTGTGTGCTCGCTAGAAAGACAGAGAGAGAAAGAGAGACAGAAAGCAAGAAATCACTCCCCAGGGGGGATGGCCACACCGCAATCCTTTCTCCTCCATTTTCTTCTCGGGACCTTGGGCACGCATGCACACATGCCTGGCATGAGTTTAAACTACTGGGTCTGGGACTCGAATCGTGGTTGACTACATGGGAGTCCAACGACATAGGCATTATGCTAACTGCTGGTGATATATAATTAATCAATCAATAAATCAATGTAATTCTTAAAAAATAAAAATAGTAAAAATTCTGCAGTCTAAGGAAAGTACCTTGACCTGGAATCTTCCCAAGGGAAGTGCTCCTGGCCAGACTCCTGCAGCTACTTGGACTGCAGCTCTACTACTGGGATCATTGGAAAAGTCATGATGTATTTTTTAAAAAAAAAATAATTATTTTACTTAACTTTATTTATTCATTTATTTTCATTTGACCAGAGAGGAACAGAGCGAGAGGCAGAGAGAGAGAGAAAGCGAGAAAGCAAGCCACCAGGTCCTGGACATGAACCATGGTATTGGTCACGTGGGATTCCAGCGCTCTTAACCACCACGCCACCTACTGGCCCAGTCATGATGTATTTTTCTACGCAAAAATGCATCATGACTCTGCCGATGACCCAACACATGGTGATCACCCCAGCTTCTGCTGCTTGTTGCTATTGCCAACAGCAGGTGCTGATAAGACAGGAAATAATTTGCATTTACTTAATGTAACTTAATGCTAGACTTTCGGCTGTGTATTTTATTCCTACTTAATTTTCCCACTGCCACTGTGCAATACACGTTAGGTAACTTGCCACCATCCCCTCAGCTGTTGACTACCGACCTGAGGCAGCATGTTGGACTTGGCCATTTCATGTTCTAGTCCTCAGGCTACTGCAGTGGTTTCTTCTGCCCTGCCCTGCACATGGGTGACACGGCATGTCAGTGAGGGGTTAGTCTCACTTACAGAAGAAAGCCAGGACTTCTATTGAAGTCCTAAGTGTCTGACCTATGTGTTTCCCTATTCATGTATTTTTCAAAGTTTCTTTCTTTCATGAAGGAGAGAGAGAAGGACACCCTCAAACAGGGTCTCTATCCTGCAGTTCATCCCGTCTCAGCTGGCCGAGATCATGAGCACAGGTGTGTCCAGTGTGCACAAGCAGGAACTGGAATGCAAACCCGCGACTTCTCCCACAGGGGTCGTTACCACTGCATCACCATCTCCCCACCTCCCATTTTGTTCTAACTTGCACACCACATGCTGAGTATTCTGTGAAAGCACGGGTATTGAGACAAGAAGGAAGGATCTGTTGGGAAAGGAGGATCTGCACTTTGTTGTCTCGACACCTAAGCAGTCGGGTATCCTGGAATTACCAGTGGCGCAGGAGTAGAGGAAGATGAGCAGGATCACTTGGAATGCCTCCCCTGCTTTTATGTTTCATTACAGAAAATTTCAAATTCGTTCCAAAGTAGAGTAAATGGTATAAAGAAATCCCATATCCTATCACTCAGCTTCAAAAAGTATCTACTTGCACCGATTTTGTTTTATTCATACCGGCACCTGCCCCCCCCCCCTCTTTCAGAGTGAAATCCCGGCACCCGCCCCCCCCCCCCCTATTTCAGAGTAAATGGGAGGCTCTTTCCCATGGTAGGATCCTTCTGCTATTCTAAGAGCCATTAATCAAGGTGCTAGCAAATGTCATGCAACTTGGCAACACCTGTCTACCTATACTGAGCCTGGCTAGAATTTTGTTTGATACTTTCCTTCCTTATTCACATGTGCCACATGTGATTAAGTGTGAGTGAACCATGATAGGTTAAAAAAACTAGAAATCCATGTGGTAATTTTTTCACAGTATTTCTTTTCTTATGAACTTTTTGAGGCCCTCTTGAACATAGTATATTGTGGACATCTTTCAGCAAGCAATACATATAAATAATGAAATTTAATTTTGGGACCAGCAGATGGTATGGTGGTTAAGGCGCTGGACTCCCACATGGTAGACTGCAGTCTGAGCGTTGGACCTCGGAGCTTGCTTTCTCACTTTCTCTGTTTCTCTCTAGTGAGTGCACATGCCCTACAGCAAATTAAAAATAAATAAATTAAATAAATAATTCTTTAAAAAAAGAAATCTAATTTTAAAGGGCTTTCATAACGTCGATTTGTAATTTTTCTAGAGAGTGCTCAATATTTCGTTTTAGTCCACACAGGCCTAACGCTGTTTGTACCTAGGTGATATAAATATGTACTACATAGCTGTAATATATACCTACACAGATGTAATATAAAAGCAGTGCAATTACAAGAAGCCTTTTACTTATAATGAGGTGACGCTACTTCGTTGCAGACCTCCAGAGGCTACCATTCACGCAGCTGCAGATGGCCACTGAGGCCCAACGAGAGTGAGCATTTAACGAAAACTAAATCCTTATAGACGGGCTTGTTGGATCATCCGGTTCCATAAATCGCAGGTTAGCGTTTGCGGTTGAGAGAGGTTCAGTGAGGACTGTTTATGAGATGCAAGTATTTCATTCGTCTTCGTGAAAAACGGCCGGAAAAGACAAACACCTTGAAAACTCCTGAAAAGGAAAACGCCTCTTTTCAATTTGCCAACTACGGGACACCGTGGAAATCCCACGCTGGGACCGGCGCGGTGCCTGCTGGGAGTTGTAGTTCGTCCTCGCCTTCAGTGATACGGTCCGGGCCCCGCGAGACTCCGTTTCCCGGCAGGCTGCGCGCCAAGGCTGCCCGCCGGAGTCCAGAGCTGCCGCGCTGGTTCTAAGAGTGCCAGTGAGCGTTGGGTACTGGGGTGGCGATGGCCTCGTTCGTGACGGAAGTTTTGGCACACTCGGGGAGACTGGAGAAAGAGGACCTGGGCACCCGGATCAGCCGCTTGACCCGGCGGGTGGAGGAGATCAAGGTGAGGGCGGGCAGCGGCGGGTGGAGCAGAGAGGACGCCGGGTGAGGCGCCAAGGAGGCGTGGGGGCTACGGAACGGCGGACACCGGGGCTGGCAGCAGCCGGGGGTGGTCCGAGAAGTCTGGGCTTGCCGGCCGAGCAACGTGTGGACTGAGGACGGAGCTGGACGGAGTCCAGACGGGGCTGGGGACGGAAGACGAACAGGCCTGGGACTAGGGAGGACTGCGGCTGGGGGTTGTTGGGGCGGCTTGGGCTGGGGGAGGAGAAGGAAGACGGTCGAGAACAGCAGAACCCCCGAGTGTGGAGAGCGAATTTGAGAGGGGTGGCAAAGCGGACAGGTCCTCCCGCACCAGCCTCAGTGTCCGCGTCCTCCACCCACTCCTTGACTGGGTTGTGAAAGAAAAGCAGTCCAGGATCGCTGGTAGAAGTCCATTTAAAATTTAAGGGCTTCAGTAAAGCATAAGCCTGAGACTTTGGTTATGCCCCACATGTGCTCCAGTGGGTGCATCCGGGGGTATTGTCCAAAAGGCACAGCTTTCGTTAACAGTGAAAGAACTGACATTTTCCAGCGGGGCCTCCACCCGGTCTTCACCCCAGTGTTCTTGAGTTCATGGTGTATAGAATGAGGCATATAGCCTGCATTGCTTTAATAATGTAAACTCTAGGACCAACGTAAGCTCCTGACAAGCACCTTGAAACCTCCCCCGTTGCCCGTCTCTTGGTTCTATATTAACCAGCTTTCTTGGCCATTTTGATGAGCACATCCTGGTGATTTGTCCAAAACCTGGCTACCACAAACCACTTTTTATTTCATGGATTATTGGATCATCAGAAAAGTCATGACTTTTTTTTCTGTTTCTATGCAAAAATGCACCATGACTTTTCAATGACCCAGTGAATATACTCTTCAGTCTTCTTCTTAGGTTGATGTAATTTTGGCAATAAGGATGAAATTCAGAGCCATCCCTAACTTCCTGGCCATCCCTCTCAGATTCTGTGATTCCTGAGCTGTGAAGGAGTAAGTTCTGAATCTGGACCTAGATCTAGTGCATTTGAGCTGTTACTAGCCCTTTCACGACAATGAAGAGCTTTCCAGCTCTACTCTGGTAGTAGATGGGGTTCCTGTCTTAAGTCCTTGTTTTTTTTTTTAAATTTCAAAGAGCATATATGCACAAGATGCGTGGGAAGCATCTCCCCAGTGGGGCCTGGTCATACTACAATTTCCTGTCTTCCATTTCTCCATCTTATCAGGATCCTGGACATATATGTATATCCACCTGGTGTGTTTTTCAAACTGCTGGGTCCAAACTGCATAGTTATTTGCAGTTTTACTTTGTACAGATATTGTTATTTTTGCCAGTGGTTTTCTGCATCTTCAATTGCTTTTATTTTAAAATTATGTGTACCTGTTCAAGTCTGGATTGGATTTAAGGGAGAAGTTTTTGGTATGCACCATCTGGGCACAAGGTATAGCTCTTACCAATAACCCTAGTTTTTCAGAAGTGGTTTTCTAGATTTGCTTTGTTTTTGTTTTTGAGTTTAGCTATAAGGCATGTGCACTTACTGGAAAGAGACTAGGAAAGCGAGATAGGGAAAGTGAGAAATCACCCCCCCACACACACACACACAGAGGGTATGGCCACACTGCATTACCTCCCCCTCAGTTATCCTCTTGGAATTTTGGGCATGTGTACACATGCACCTGGCGTGTTTTTCAAGCCACCAGGTCTGGTACTTCAACTGGGTTGGCCATGAGGGATCCAACACATTAACCACCATGCCACCAGCTAGCCCAGGATTTCATTACTTTTTAGTGTGATGGAAAGAGAATAGACTATTAAGTTACCTTAGCATGTCACTCAGAGCTCCTCTGTGTTCTAAACCTGCACTACTTTCCCTTTCACTTATTTCATTTACTATGTTGAATCTTTAGCCATTTGAAAGTTACCTTTTATGCTCTAAGTAGGCCCACTTTATTATTTTTTTTTAATTGCTAGAGGCTGTGTGCTCATCCCAGAGAGAGAGACAGAGACAGAGACAGAGAGAAGGAGTGTGAGAAAGCACCCCTTAAAGGGATGTGGTCATACCACAGTCCCTTTTCTGTTTCTCCATCCTGTTGGGATTTTAGACACTCATACACATACCTGGAGTGTTTTTCAAGCCATGGGGACTGAGATTCAAACCACAGTTTGCCAGATGGGAGCTGGGTCACCTTAACCAGTAGGCTCTGGGGTGGCCCCCAGTTTTTCTTTTTTTACTAGTTCCCACATTTTGCTTATGTTGGTGTATGTCCATCTTTACCCTTAGTATGTCTATTTCTACCCGTAGCTCAAGTCTCATCTCAGGTGTAGTCTCCTGCATAAAAACAAAACAAAACCCATTCTCTCCTAGAGAGAGGTGAACTATTTCTTAGTTGTACTTCTGGAGGACTTAGTCATTGTTGTATTTTATTTCAGCCCTATATTCTGGTTATTAAAATGTTAGTATCTTTCTTACCTACAAGGAGTTTATTTATGGGCAGGTGTAACTTATATCTTTCAGAGTGTTCAGTGATTCAGTGCAAAGTACTCAATAATTTGTTTATGGAGTTAATCTGAATTAAAGGAGATGATGAAATTCAATTCAATTTAGGAATTTAGGATAGGGCCTAAAATGTTATAGGCAAGAAGATAGGAATTAATAAATCTATTGAAGTATACAGACTATGCATTTATCTGTTTACTTATTTTTTAAATGTTTATTTATTTCTTCCATGAGCAAGAGAGAGACAGCACCCTCAACAGAGTTCTCATGCCATGATCCACCCCCACCTTTGGTCAGCTGCAGATCATGGGCACAACCAGGGAGGTCTCTGGATGCAAACCTCGAACCTTCTCCTGTGGATCAGCCTCATAGAGCATCGCGTTTTCCCTCAGCTCCACTGTCTGGCTCTCCACTTACTTTTTTTTCTACTGTGATTAAAATTGGTGGCTGCAGTCTGATTTAGTTCAGTATGAGAACTTTGGGCCCCACCTTTCTTTTCCAGCATTTGTACAACTCGTGGGCACTGTTGGAGTTTGGTGGTCATTGTGCTCTGGCACCCGAATAATGTTATGGTACCTTAAGTGGTGGGGGAAATGTGTTTTCGAAAGAGACCCATTTGCCTGGAGGAAAAGTGGATGGGTATAGGTGACTGGCAAGAAGCCTCCAACACGGAAGCTGTCTTATGGAAGACAAGCTGTATCTTTTAACAGTTTCCTGCTCATCTCATTCTTTTTTTTTTTTTTTTTTAATTAATTTGTTCATGGGTGTGTGTGTATTCACTGGAGAGAAGGAGAGAAGGAAAGCAAGGAAGCACCTGTAAGGGGAGATGACCATGTTGCAGTCCCTTCTCCATTCTCCCCTTGGGATTTTAGACACACATGCATAGGCACCTGGCATGTTTTTCAGACTGTTGGGTCTGGGACTTGAACTGCACAGTTGGCCATGTGTGATCCGTCCACCTTAACTACCACACCAGCTGGTGACCCTCACTGTCTTAATATTAAAATTCTTCTGTCTTCTAGGGCGAGGTGTGCAGTATGATAAGCAAGAAGTACAGTGAGTTCCTGCCTAGCATGCAGAGCGCACAGAACCTGGTTACCCAGGTGGATGAGCTGTCTGGTGATATTGACCTGCTGAAGTCCAGGATAGAGAATGAGGTAAGACAAGTTTTTTATGTTGGGTGGGTTTGTAGAGAGGCAGTTCAGCTTCCTGATTTCTTTTCTTCTTCTTTTTTTAAAAAAGAATGATCTTATTTAGATTTATTTATTTATTTATTTTAATTTGACCAGAGAGGGACAGAGTAAGAGAGAGAGAAAGAGAGAGAAAGCAGGAAAGCAAGCCACCAGGTCTGGTACTTGAACCATAGTTGGCCATGTAGGTGTCCAGTGCTCCTAATCACCATGCCACCTGCTGACCCCCAGCTTCCTGATTTCTTTTTTTTCCTTTGGGGAGGTTTTTGTTATAGGGCGTATGCACTTGTCAGAAAGACAGAGAGAGACAGAGAGATAGAAAGTGAGAAATCACCTCCCGGGGGAATGGCCATTCCACAATCCCTTCTCCTCCATTCTCCTCTCGGGATCTTGGGCAAACATGCACACATGCCTGATGTGACTTGAAGCCACCATATCCGGGACTCAAACCGTGGTTGGCTACATGGGAGTCCAGCGACATAGCCATTACGCCAACTGCTGGTCCCCCTAGCTTCCTGATTTCTAAGGCAACTCCATTCTGTACAATTTCTCAAGACCTCACTCTCCGTATTGGTAAATGGAGGTCAAATTAAGTGATTGTAAGGCGACTTCAGTCCTAAAACAGAAATATTTTAAAACTTTGTCAAAGACAGTCTTTGTCTTTGGCCTCTGGAAAGTTGACTTGGTTTTCCCAACACAAGCTCTCTACTTCCTGTTGTAAGGCCAGTGGCTCCCTGCCCTTCTTGTGCAGTGTAGTGTCACTTAGGCACATGGTCACACCCAACTGAAGGTGGTCAGGACAGAGATGTAGGTGCCATTACTATGGAAAAAGGAGAATGGATTTCAGTGGACAGTTCGCATATAACCCCATCCAGATGCATATTTGGAGGTTAGGAAAATGAATATGAACTTAAGATAGCAGCACTCAGAAATCGAAGCTATGGGAATGGAAGGGATTGCACAGAGAGAGTGTATAAAGCAAGGTTTTTATTTTTATTTTTTAAAATTTGCCAGAGGGCACATGTGCATGCTAGAGAGAGAGAGAGAGAGAAGGTGAGAAAGCTCCCCCTGTGGAGGCAATGCCTTCTCCATTTCTTCCCTTGACATTTTGGGTATGCACACATACGCGTCTGGCCTGTTTCTCAAGTTGCTGAATACAGGACTTGAGCTGCACAGTTGGCCAAGTGGGTTCCAGCTCCTTAACCACCATGGCTGGCCTGAGCAGAATTTTTCAGCCTTGGCCTAATGATATTTTGAGCCAGATCATCCTTTGCTGGGTATTTGGGCGTCTGTCCTGTATGTTGTTGGATGTTAGCAGTACACCTAGCTTTTTCCACCAGAGGCCGGTAGAATATTCTCAGTGTGAAAACCACAAATGTCTCCAGACATTGCCAAGCATTCCTTAGGGAGGGTGGGGCAAAATTGTCCCCTGTTTAGAGTCACTGGTTTAGAGTAAGAAGATAGCGAAAGAGAAATGAATGTTACTGTGTATAGAGTGGTCTGAGGGAAAATGAAGAAAGTAAAAAGAAAGACCAGCGAGCTAAGGAAAATCAGCAGAGAACGGTATCATGGAACGCAGGGAAAGAAGGTTTCAGAAGGGAGGAAGGTGACTGTACTGTGAAACAGCTACGCGCTGGTAGTGTGTGCTTTGGATTTGGCAATGAGAGTGGAGCGGTGGGGCTAGGAACCAGGTCACAGTGAGGTGCGGAGTGGATGAGAGGTGAGAAGGTAAAGATACTTTCAGGAAGATGGCATGTGAGGAGGGGCAAGGCATGAGGCAGCTGCTGAGAAATAGGCGAGTTGCTGTGGTGCGGGAAACTTTTTCTTAAAGATGAGTGAAATTTGGGAACCAGCAATTAGCATAATGGCTATGTCACTGGACTCCCACATAGTCGACCGCGGTTCGCGTCCCGGACCCGGTGGCTTAAAACTCACGCCGGGCGCGTGTGCGTGCGTGCCCAAGATCCCGAGAGGAGAATGGAGGAGAAGGGATTGCAGCGTGACCATCCCCCCTGGGGGGTGATTTCTCGCTTTCTGTCTCTATGTCTCTGTCTGTCTGTCTGGCGAGCACACGCACCCTATAGCGAAAACCTCTCAAAAAAAAAAAAAAAAGATGAGCGAAATTTTAACATCTTTAAATTGATGGGAGGAGTTCTGTACTGGTAAGTATTTTTTTTTTTTTTTTTTGAGAGATTTTTCCCTGTAGGGCGCGTGCGCTCGCCAGACAGAGAGAGACATAGAGACAGAAAGCGAGAAATCACCCCCCAGGGGGGATGGTCACGCTGCAATCCCTTCTCCTCCATTCTCCTCTCGGGATCTTGGGCACGCACGCACACGCGCCCGGCGTGAGTTTTAAGCCACCGGGTCCGGGACACGAACCGTGGTCGACTACGTGGGAGTCCAGTGACATAGCCATTACGCTAACTGCTGGTTCCCTGTACTGGTAAGTATTAAATCAATATATATTTCATGAGTGTGTGAAAATGAAGGATAAATTAGGGTCAAGTTAAAGGTATAACAGAAAGGAAATCACTGATGATGTGATCCCCGAAAATGGGCAGAATGGGAGGCAGATTCTACCTCAGCCTAAAAAACAATCTTAGAGCTATCCAACTGTATCTTGAATTATCACTTGGCGGTGAAGATAACCTTCTAATAATCGAGGTGGGTAAGCTCTCTGATGGAAGAGAGCTGCTTAAGTTGAGAGTGGATGAGGATTTTATGTTGATAGAAATGGGTATTCTTGCACAGAGTAAGGGTTTAGACTAGGGGGACCTCTGTGATATCTTCCTCCTACATTTTTTTGTTATCATCATAATCTTGTTTATATTACATTGGATTGCATGTAACTTTACAATATAGTACATTGCTTTTTCAAAAGGGAATGCCATGCCTGTCAGTCAGTACAGAGACACTAATCTCCCCTCTTCATCATTCATTATCTTTTCAATGTTTTTCCCAATCATTATTATTATTATTATAGTTATTTTTTTAAAACAGTCAATCACTGTTTCTCATTTTGCTTGTAAAAAGACTTTACCCATCATGAAATACTTCTCAGATCAATCCAGTTGAGAATACTATACACGTCATCATCAACAGGCAATAATCTATATCTGTTTCCCATTAACTCCTGCCTCTCTATTTGTTCTCTTGCTTTCTCTGTCCTCTTCTTGTCACCCCCCTCCATTCCACGCTGTCTTATTCTCATTAAGTACTTTCACTGCTTTTATGTCCTCCAGTATTTCGCTCTCTACCATAAAGTGTGGGTAGTCCTTCCTCCTACATGTGATTTTTTTAAGAAATATTTTATTTAACTTTATTTATTTATTTGTTTGTTTGTTTAAATTTGACCAGAGAGGCACAGAGAGAGAAAGTGAGAAAGCAAGCCGCCAGGTCTGGGACTCGAACTGTAATCGACCACGTGGAATTCCAGCGCTCTTAACCACCACGCCACCTGCCGGCCCCCATTGTGTGATTTTTATTCCAGTCTTAGATACCATTGAAATTTTAGCACGAATTATGTAAAGCATATTGAATAGTTGCTAATGTTTACTCTCTTAGGCTTGGTATAGCTTGTAAATACTGGTTTTTGATGTGTGAATTAGGTTCGCCGAGATCTTCATGTATCAACTGCTGAATTCACAGACTTGAAGCAACAGTTGGAAAGAAACTCATTAGTTCTCAGCTTGCTTAAACAACTGCAAGAGGTCAGTAGGCTCAACTCAGACTTTTGTGTTTTAGTGGTTAGAAAGTTATTCCTGTATATCTTTTCCAATTTGTCTCATTATTCAGTGGCTATACGCTGACTATAGTGATTTTTAAAAAATATTTTAAAAACAAAAAGACTTGAAACAATAGGATGTATAAAATAAAACACCCGATGACTTACACATCCCTTTTCAGATTTCCACTGCTATCGAAGAGTACAACTGTGCATTAACTGAGAAGAAGTATGTCACCGCGGCTCACTGCCTGGAAGAGGTACCGACTGCTTTCTTTGAAGCATGAGCAATTAATGCTCTTCTTATTTTCAGTGGATTTTGTGTCTTATCTATTCATTATCATATGCAAATATATTTCTCATTGTCCTGAGTCAAGATGGAATGTTTAACAATGATTCCATTTTACTATCAGGCACAGAAATGCTTGAAGTCACTAAAGTCCAGAAAATGCTTTGATTTAAAATTGTTGAAGTCTCTCAGCAAGGAGCTCACAATACAGAAACAGAACATACTTTATCACC